AAGAGCCAAGGTTGTAATGCAGTATAAACTTCAACATTCCCGGGATGTATCAACAGAAGGGGTATGGAGGGCAGCCAAGGCAAAGACTTCCCAAAGCTAAATCAATAGAGCCAGCTGTAGACAGAGGGCAGCAAATAAAGTGTGTAAGACACAGGCAGTCTAGCCTTGCCAGCTGCCCTGAGGACATTATTCAACAAGGTCTGTGAAATCTGTTCCCAGCTCTCTTCCCATACACCAGGCCTCTGCTGCCCTGCTGAACTGAAGTACTGGGCCTCTAGAATAAGATCTGGTGTAGAAACTGCTGATGTGAGACACCCACTCTGGTTTATACAACAGACTGAGTTTGGCCCTTCATAGGCAGTGGGCTCTGATCCGATGACAAGTTCAGTAAACAAGCTGTTACATTCTCCTGACCCAAGGCTGCCTCACACAAAAATGGAACCACACCTATCTAACACAGCTGCTTCTAGAGTCAAATGGCATCAGGCTGCCCTGTGCGAGCTTAGTGAATCTCAGGCTTTGCAATTTCAAGCAGACCGCCACTGCTAATGTCATTATTAAGTAGAGAAAACTGCTAAGCCTACTTCGGATCACATTAGAGAAAAATCCTACCTGCTGTCCCAACCTAGAGAATGTGCATATCTATGGAAAGACTCTTCTCACTTAAGACTGCACGCACCTGCCCAGCCCTAAACTCTCCCCTCACTGCCATTTCCCCATTGTTGCTGGTTCCCCACTGCCTCTGGTCTCAGCCGATAACCATCCAGGGAAAACAACTGCTTACCCTGAGCACAGCCAATTGCTGGTTAGTCTGAAACACACACAAGTAACCCAGCCTGAGCCTGCTTCCGGTTTCCTGGCATTCCCAACGGGGCTAAAGATGACATGTGCCCATAAATGCATGTGTTTTTGCAGGATCAGCTATCTAGAAAATGGAACTGGAATGATGTGCTTGCAAGTATGCTTTCTTAATTCTGATACTTTTACTTACGTTCTACCCATCCATCTCCCTGGTTGTCCACACTCCACAATAATACAAGAAAATAAGAATATAGACAAAGCCCATGGATCTGACCAAGCCCCTCCCCAGACTCTGGGACAGTGCTCCTTGATTAGGGACCTTCAATAACCAACTTCAACACACCCTTGCACACATGCACACACCTACACATATATGCAACACAAAAAATTTGATACCAATAATTTATTATGCTATGTACAGCCATAAAAATGTATGTCACTGTCAATTTTTATTTGTTATCATTTTTATTTGTATTTGTTTGTGTGTATACGTGCATGCCATGGTATACATGTGGAGGTCAGAGGACAAGCCAAAAGAGTCAGTGCTCTCCTTCCATCACATCATTCCTGGGGATCAAAATCAGACCATCAGACTCAGCAGCAAGAGCCCTTCCTCACTAAGCCATTTCACTGGCTCAATTGCTTACTTTTTTTAAAAACAGTCTTCACAGGCTAGGGATTGGTAAAGCAAGCATGAGGGTCTGAGTTCAGAGCCTGTAATCCACATGAAAAGCAGGTCATGGTGCTATGTGCCTATGAAACCAGCTTTAGGGATGCAAAGACAGGTGGATCCCTGAAGCTCACTGGCCAGCCAACCTAGCCAAATCAATGAACCTCAGGTTCAACAAGAGGAGAGCCCCTGTCTCAAAATCTAAAGATAGAGCACAATCAAGGCTCAGTCTCACTTCTGTATGTCCACTCTCTTGCCTAGAAAATCTGCTCATTAAACTGAAACTTACCATATGTGATAATGGTTCAAATCCAAAATGCTCCTCACCTTGTGCCTCCACATGCACTCGTGGATATATGTACACACCATATACTCCACACGTACAGAACACACACACCCACACACACACACACACACACACACACACACACACACACTAAAAATAACTTTCATAAAAAGCAGTTATATAGTCTTATCCACTTCAAAATAAGAAAAATGCATTATCAGAATAAGATGCAGACTTCTGTGATTACAAATAGTTAGATTTATGAAAAGCTCATTCATTATACACCAGTCTCTATTTTTCCCCAAGAGAACTGGAAAACTGATGGTGTAGAGAGGGGAATTGTTACTGTTCTAGCTGGACTATCATCACTGGATAGTTCTAAAATGACATTACAATTCTTGTGTCCAGAGCCAGCCACGGAAAGAGAAGCCTTCTGCCCCACCTGCTGATTATGCAGAGCTGAATATGCAGCAGCAACAGCCTTCTAGAAAAGGCTGGACACCAGGATAGCCTGGGATAACTCCTGCTGCTCTGCTAAGATCTTGGTCTCAAATCTGCCTAGCTCATCTCTCTGGATCTGGGACGTCGCCCTAGGTCACACTTGCATTGCTGGCTGATGCAAACCTCATCTTCGCCATCTTCAGGCAAACCCATTAGGACATACCCTCTTAGAAAACCTGCTTAAATTAAACGTAAGTTTCCCATATGCTGTGGTTTGAAAGGGAGATGCCCCCCTCCCCAACCAACCCCACCACCCCACCACTCCACCCCCCGCAGGCTTGTGTTTACAGTCCTTGTTCTCCAGCTGGGTTAGTGTTGGGGCCAGGGAGGGGCTGTTGAAGTCTTTAGGAGGAGGGCAGAGCTGACCAAGCAGATCACTGGGAAGGGAGCCTTTGGAGACTATGCCTAGCCCCCTGTTCCAATATACTCTCTGCTTTCTGGTCAGCTCCCATGTGAGGAGTCTCTGCCATACACATTGCCATAATTGCCTTTCCTGCCAGGCTGGACTGAGATCTTGATAAACTGTGAGCCAAAATCAGTCTTCCCTGAATTTGTTTCTGTTAGGCATTGTGGTCACAAAAACACCAAGGTAGCTAATATACTATACAGCCCAGGAATTCCACTTCCAGTCACCTACCTGAAAGAAATAAAAGTCCTTTCACACAAAAACTTGCAGAAAACACTCATACGAACAGAAATAAAAGGGTCAGCAAGGAGGCTCAGCAGGGAAAGGCATTTGTCCCCAAGCCTGATGACCTGAGTTTGATCCCCGGAACCCACATGGTGGAAGAAGAAAATTGAGAACAAGTTGTCCTCTGATCTCTACATATGTGCCATCCATGGCACGTGCATATGTGCACACACACACTCACACCATCAATAAATCAATAAAGGTCACAACAAAATTTAATACAAATGATCTAAATATCTATGAAGGAGATAATAGAAAGCAAAATGTGGTATGATTCACAATGAAATATTAATCAGAAATAAAGAAGAATGAATTAGTAATAGAAGATACAATATAAACTTGAAAAAGATATTGAACTATGTGAAAGAAGCCAGACACAAAATACCACACAATATGATTCCATTTATGTGACATTCCCAAACATGGTCAGCACACAATATACAGATTATGAGTTACCTGAATAAAAGAGTGAGACAAATGGGCAGGAAAGAAATTTTTCATAATAATAATTGTCTTTAATTTGTTCAAAACCATGCTTTAATTAGATACTGGCAGAATATAGTAGCTTTGTTTAGTGATTGAGCCCATGAGGAAGTGGATGAGTGAATTTCCCAAAGGTTTCTCTGGCAAGCCTCAACCAGGTCTATGTTTCACTCTTGACAGTCAGCCTCAGAAAGCTATGCATAGTTGTTATGTAATAGCTACCTGTGTACAGTACACACATTGGGTCTAATTCTCTGGATTAGGTTAGAACTGCATGAAACTGATGTTTTTATGGGTAGATGCTATTAAATAATGATCATTTCAAATGTCTCAACCTAAGCAGATACTTTTAAGTCTGGCAGGTCTTAAGTGACACTAAGCTCTAGCACACAGTCCAAGTTCCCGTTCCCTCATTTACAGGCTCTTGCTCAGAAGGCTGCTGTAGGGTTACAGTGATAGTCTATGGAAAGCACCTACCATGGCTGTCACAGAGGAAGTTATTTAATTCTGTAAATTATAACAATTACTAACACACACTGGTCCTATCTCTTGATAAACTGCCCAGTTATCAAGGGTCAGGTCTTTCACATCTTTTGTACCTATGCGTTTCCTTGGCATGTAGTGTCCATAGGCAAGGCTTCCTATTGACTGCTAAAATGTGGGAATTCTTCCTTGGAGACCACCAGAGACTCCTACCTGAAAACCACTAACTTCTCCTCAATGAACTTCTGACATACTGTTGGAGGCTTCTTATGATTCCATTCCCAACATCCTCCTCTCCACAGGTATACACATAACAGCAATCCGATGAAACAGAAGGAAGTATCATCAGAGAGATTTCCTTCTGGCTTATTTCTCAACAAAAATACTTGGCTGCTGAATAACTAGTGTTTTGATGGATGGCTGGGGCATCTATGAAAACTCAGGTTTCTACTTGTAACAACAAACAGCAGGAGCTATAAGCAGATGCAAGAAAATTATATCCCTACATTCTGTGTGAAATTCCTCAGTTCTTTTTGTAGAGATCAGAAAGGTAGCCAAAAGACTGTAGACTCTGAAAACATTAAAGATGCCATATTTCACAAATAAAAACACAGAACAGTCATATAAATTTGAGGTAAACAATGAATATCTGAAGATACACTTAAAAGTGTCCATTGTTCATCAAATCAGTTCAAATTAACTGGGTGTCCTATATTTTATCTGGCAACCCTAGATTTAATCTGTTCCACAGATCGCTTTTTAGTTTCCAAACATAATTTTTCATTTCAAATAACTATCCTTAAACCACAAAAGAAAAACTATGATAAGCCGGGCGGTGGTGGCGCACGCCTTTAATCCCAGCACTCGGGAGGTAGAGCCAGGCGGATCTCTGTGAGTTCAAGGCCAGCCTGAGCTACCAAGTGAGTTCCAGGAAAGGCGCAAAGCTACACAGAGAAACCCTGTCTCAAAAAACCAAAAAAAAAAAAAAGAAAAAGAAAAACTATGATAACCAAAGAAATAGGATGTCCAAAGTTTGTGAGAGCATGTATGAGTCTAGAGACTGAGGATCACATTGGGTCGGCCCTGCAGGAAGATGCAACCCACTGCTCCTTGACTTTGTCCAGTGCAGTACACCTAAATATTACTGTCTCTGTTTTACAGGCAAAGAAATGGCAACATAGAGAAGATAGACCCAAGGTCTCCCAATGGGAATTTTAAAAATTAAGCTAGAGGCCTCTCACCAGAGTCCCCAGATGTAAGCCTACTGTCTACTCTGATAGCTAATTCCAATTTCCAATGCTGTGTTAACTATTATCCAAGAAAGCCATTAAGTTTTTCTTTTCAATGCTTCTACATCAATGAAACAGAGAAACTTCAATCACAAAACACTCCACAGCCATGACAGCTGATGATCAGAATTTACCTTTCTCTTCCATTTCTGCCTCATCTTATCAAATTCTTAACTCATGGACATTTTCACCAAAATTCCACCAACAGGACAAAAGAAAAACAAGAAATGATCAAATTTTAAACAAGCAATATCCTGCTAACTACATACAGCTCTGTTAAAGAGTGGCTAGGACCTAAGACTAGACTCAAGATTAAATTGGAACAATGCCATCTTCAACACATCCATTTATAGCCTTCATCACCAATGGTAACCAGTCTGCGCTAAAATTGACAAAACCGTAGTCATTCCTGTAGAAACAAAACTCTCTGGACACGTGTTGTAAACAAATAGCTCATTCATATAGAAAATACTACAGAACAGCTTCTCTCCTCTCATCTCAGCTGTAGCCAGGCATTAGTAGAAGGAACAGAGTCTCTCTGATGAGCTTACTGGCCCAAGTTTTGCCCTCACTCCTCAAGGCTACTAAAGCTGACCCATATGCTCACCAGTCTCACCTAAACACAAGGATAGTCTGCCCTGCCACACAGACAAAGGGTGGCACTAAAAACGACCATGACTAGCCTGTACTTTAATTAATATGCTTGAAGACAAAGTGTCCCCAGGGGTGTGAGCTTCTCCAGCCATCGGAGCTCAGGACCAGCATTTTCATCCTCAGACTGCCTGAGGAAAAAGCTGGGTAGGGCAACATTCATCAAACACATGATGAGCCAAAGGCAGGGGGCGAGATATTCTTTATCATATTTGCCTTTGGAAAGCAATCCATCTCCTTGGTAACAGTTCTAAAAAAGAAAAAGAGAAAGGCGGGGAATGCTTCTACTAAATCTTATACCTTAGCAGGCAGCCTAGAAAATACTCATCATTCGGGTAAGGTAACCAACCATTTCTTGTTCTCATAGGATGCTTGTGGTAAGGGTGAGGGGTGGCCTTTGTTTTGTTCATTTTTTAAATTATTCCTTCTCTTTTTAATATTATAATCTAGTTACATCATTCTCCCTTCCCTTTCCTACTCTAAGCCCTCCCATATACCCCTCCTTGCTCTTTTGCAAATTCATGGCCTCTTTTTCCATTCATTGTCATTACACGTGTGTGTGTGTGTGTGTGTGCGTGTGTGTGTGTGTGTGTGTGTGTGTGTGTGTGTGTGTACACCCTGCTCAACTCAACCTGTATGATGTTACTCGTATGTAAGTTGTCAGGGCTGACCATTTGATATTGGATAACCAATTCATGTGTTCTTTCCTGGGGGAGACTATTTCTCTCACTCTCAACATTCCTTGGTTGCCTGTGGTTCTGTGTGTAGGGTTGAGGCCTCCAGTGCTTTTCCTGTCCATATTCCCATGTCTGTTGTCATACTTGTTCAACTCATGCTTAGGCGGTCATCATGGTGAGACTGTATGGGTGTAGCTTGTTTCGTTCATTTTTGCCTGAAAGGGGGCATCCAGTCTTTCACATGGGCTTCATAGTTATACTATCTACAAAATAAGAGATAGTGACAATGTTGATGGTATCAGAAGTTGGTTGGTTTAGATTTTGATGTTTTAATTTGGTTTGGCTGAGTTAGGTTTAGGTTTGTTTGTGGGGAGCTGGGGTTGGGGTGGTTGTTTTGAGTTTTTGTTTGGTTGGTTTGGGTTTTGTTTTGGTTTTGTTTGTTTGATTGTTTTGTTTTTGTTTTCGACAGGGTCTCTCTATGTAGCCCTGGCTATCCTAGAACTAAGTATATAGACTGGGCTGGCCTGGAACTTACAGAGATCTGCCTGCCTCTAGCGCTGGGATTAAAGGTATGTGTCACCATGCCCAGCTTTGGGTTTGGTTTTTTTGAGACAAGCATTCACAGAGTACAGGCTGACCTTGAATACCCATCCCTCCTGTGTTGCCTCTCAAGTGCTGGGATTACAAGTGGATGCCATCATGCCAGGCTTTCTGAAGCTGCTCTGAGGAGTGAATGAGAACGTGTGCAGGATTTGAAGGTCTGGTACACAGGATATCACCAACAGCAATTAGCTAGGACTGCACTCTCACTGCTCCTCAGTGTAGCACTAGAGCACAGAGATTAACCTGGAGATGATAGGAGGTAGAACTGGGTTATGTAGTAACTGAAATGTAAAAGCCTATTTAAAAAAAAAAATCACAGCTCTATCCCTAAAGAACATATGCCAGAAAAGAGTTTTAAAAGAAACAAAAAGCAACTGGCTTACTGCCCCTGATAAACTAAACCACACAGCCACCATCATGCAATTAAAGATGCCTCAGGAACAAGAAACAGCTCCTGCATGAGCTGGTAATACACACAAACAAGATGTGTGCTGCTGTCCAGAGGTCCTGCTGGGACCTGATATTCCCCATCAGGGAAGCCAGAAGCCATTCTATGTAAAGATTTGGACAGTTCCTTAGACAGAAACAAGAAGTGAAGCTGGTATCACTTCCACCACTCTGTGCCACAGCCACAGCATTCTCACACTAAGACCTTCTAGTTTGCAGATGGGATGCCTTATATCCTGGGGTTTTACCTGCACATGAAGAACACACTGCCAGGTTCGTGGCAGGGTCCAGAGTTAGAAAATACTGAAATGACATCCCAAGTAGGTTCCATCAAGGCCCAGATGATGGAAACAGACAAGAAAAAGACCATGGCCTTCTGTCAGCTGTTTAATGCAACAGGAGCAAGGAGTGAGAGGACCTCCAGCTCCAATACATCACTAAAGAAGGAACTACAATAGGTTGCACATCTCTAGCGCTCCCTAGCTCCACACTCTAATCTTTAAGTTGAGACAAGCATATTCATCATCTAGCCACTTAGTCTGGATATTTTATAGCTACTTGTTTGCAGTTGGCACTTTCTGAATCATCATCACAGACAATGGAAAATAATTATGGCTCTCTCTCAGAACTTGCATTCAGGGATAAGAAGGAAACAAATGTGGCACTTTTGAATCTTCCCCTGTGGATGGATCAAGGCTGTTCACTTATCACAGAGTCCCACCCCATCAGACCAATGAATCAGGCAAGTAAATAAGCAACTGAGAAGGCAGGTCCAACCATTCTCCTCTAGCTTACAGAATAAATCCTGCTGAGGAATTCACAGGTACAAATACCCTTGGCCTCAAAGCATCCACAATCAGGGCTACTGACAGACAGGAGGGAAACATGCTAGCATGACATAAATTAAGGCATTTCTCAAGGTAAGCATTTGTGGAGAGCCTATTATATGCCATGCAGATCACTGAGGCTACAGCAGGAGCCCTTGCTCTCTTAGCATCTAAAAGAATGTTATCATTTACACTATAGTAAGTCTTAATCAAAATACAAAGAATAAATCCATAAAGAAAAAAGGCATTAAGAAGTGCTTCTAAAAAGCCATAGTTGGTACTGGGGGCATAGCTCAGTGTTACAGCATTTGACTAGCATGTGTGAGACCCTGGGTTTAATTCTCAGTCTTCAAAAAGAAATGTATGATGAATCAGACTTTTAAGCCAGGTGAGGCAGAGGCAGATGGATGGATCTCTGTGAGTTCAAGGCCCACCTGATCTACAAAGAGAGTTCCAGGCCAGCCAGGGCTACAGAGAAACTCTGACTCGGAAAAAAAAAAAATTGCTGGGTGGTGAAGGTGCATACCTTTAATCCAGCACTGGGGAGGCAGAGCGAAGAGGATCTCTGAGTTCAAGGCCAGCCTGGCCTACAGGAGTTCCAGGACAGTCAGGGCTACATAAAGAAGCCCTGTCTCAAAAAAACAAAACAAAACAAAAAAGCCATAGTTAGGGGTGGGCAAGATGCTCAGCTGGTAAAGATGCCTGCCCCAAACCCTGATAACCCGAATTCAATCACTGAGGCCTATGTGGCAGAAAAGAGGAGCAACAAAGATGTCGTCTAACTTCTACATGTGCACACACATCCACATCCACACACACACACTAAAATGTAGTAGAAATATTTTTAAAACAGTCACTGTACTCCTAATATCATTCACTATTGTGAGAGTACTTAAGCACTGCATGCTTCTCTTTAAGGTAGATGCATGAAGAGGTGGCCTAATTTTCGGGGTTTGTTAGATGTGATGCACAACATATCCAAGGTATGCCTTCTTGTCTAGTTAGGAATGGTGGTGCTAAATTGTCCTATTCATATGTCTAGGAAGTTGTGAAACATCTGGTAGGCCTTGAAGGAGAACACTCAACTGCCAGACCAGCTTGGTGTGCTGGGAGAAGGGGCTACCAATTACCATCAGGTCTGACCTTTTCTCAGGTCAGCCATCTATCCTCTAGGCCCTCACTAGGCAATTCCTTCCTCTGGGCTATAGTTTCTGCATTTACAAAATTATAACAGAAAAAGGAGAAGCATGTAAGTCACAGGAGGAACACAGACCATTCACCAAGTACATAAATACAAACAAGGAGTAACCTCAGAACCCAGTTTTAAGTGATATGACACACTTCCTGGTAGAAACTCTTTGCTCTTCCTCTTCTTCCTCCTACACACTTTCACCATCACCACCCTTCCAGGAAGAGTGGCTTTTAAGTCAGCTCTTTGGCAATCTATGACTTCTTAAAACACTCCAGTGTTGGCTGGGGAGCACAGAGCACAATATCCAATCATGCCCCCTAAACCCTCAAGTCCCCGAGCCCCTAAGCCCATCTCCCTGCCACTAAGCAGAGCGATGTGAGAAGCCTGGCCATCACAGAAAGTCTCCAGACTGAGAACCCAGTGGCCCCCAGAGAAACTCCAGAAGAGATTTAAATAAGAGCAGTTGGGTGAAAGGGTAGAAGAAGGCAACTTCAGAGGCAAGTGCAGGGACAGGACTGTGGTGGAGGCACAGGAACACCCGAGGGAGCAGAAAAGGGCCTCAGAGGCAGGGTTATGCGAAGATGATGCAAGACAAAACTGGAAGGGGCTGGAGTCAGGGCAGTCAGAGCATGACCGTGACCGGGGGAAGTTCTAAAAGCAATGGGAGGCCCCCAACCGCCTCTAACAGAGAAAGTAACATGGCCAATTTTTCACTTTTAAAGGCCACTCTAGCTACACACATAACTAAATCAGTGAGTTCTGATGATGAACACTAGCAGTCACTAAAGGCGGACAATTGTCTGAAGGGAACTCCAGGTACACTGAGGGGAATCAAGAGACAGACAGAGAAAGGCTAGAACAGAAAAGACATTTTAAAAGGATGGGTTGCTGGGGAGTGGGACTGGGTAAGAAAGCCTGGTATAGTACACACACTCAGAGGCACTGACATCAACCAGAGCCTAAAGGAAAAACAGGTTGGGTAGGGTTGTTGGTTTGCTTGTTTGTGGTGGTTCTGGAATTAGAACCCAAGTCTTTATGCATGCCAGGCAAACAAACATCCTACTACTGAGCTACACTCCAACCCCAGAGCCTGCACTGGGGCAAGACCCCCCAAGTAACAGGGAAGCATTCAAAATTACTGCTCTGGCTCAACAGGAACTAGTCTTTTGAGATCATCAGTCATATCACAAGTTTTGCATTTTCAAATCCAGAGTCTGTAATGGAACTGCAAAACTAAGTGTTTGCCTTAAGGTTTAAGTACGGTAGGCGAGGCTTGCCTTGAGAAAATTCTTTTCTTACAGTAGCCTGAAAGGGAAATTACAGTCCTGGATCTGGCCCAGACTGCCACGGTATAAGCAAACACACAGGCTGAGCCTAGACAGCCAAAGCTTCCAGAAGCATTTGTAAGTCAGTCAACTTTAATGATGCTGTGGGATGGTCTGTATGTCAAATGTGTTGCTGATTGGTCAATGAATAAATCACTGATTGGCAGTGGCCAGGCAGGAAGTATAGGAGGGACTAACAGAGAGGAAAGTTGAGAGAACAGGAAGCGGGGAGAGAGGGGACACTGCCAGCCGCCATCAGGACAAGGAAGATGTAAAGTACCGGTAAGCCACAAGCCACGTGGCAAGGTATAGATTAATAGAAATGGATTAATTTAAGCTGTAAGAACAGTTAACAAGAAGCCTGCCACGGCCATACAGTTTGAAACCAATATAAGTGTCTGTGTTTACTTGATCGGGTTTGAGCGGCTTGGGACTGGCGGGTGAAAGAGATTTGTCCTGACTGTGGGCCAGGCAGGAAAACTCTAGCAACAAATGGCGCCCAACGTGGGGCAAGAGTTTCCACCTAAAAACTGAGAAAAAAGATTCTAAAACGGAGCTAAAAACAGTTCCTAATGTCTCTCTCAAATGAGCGGCAGCTGCCGGTTTGAGCTACTGGCGGGTTGCTGGCGTGCGCGCTCGACCTGCCGCCATATGGCGGGAATGAGGCCTCTGCAAGTGGCACATTAAGCTACATTGTGGATTTAGCCTTTGCTAGTACAAAACAAAAGAGGTTTCGGGGCTATACGCTGCTTTGATAGAAGCATAGACCCACTATTTCTGAGAGTTGATGGCTCCCAGAGCTGGCAGAAAATGTTTCACCACCATTTTGAGAAGCTGAAGTGGGCGGAGCCAGCAGCCACAGCACCAGCGCCGTTTCAGGCTTAGAAGGCTGCAGTTTAAAGCAATAGGCTCAAGCTAATATAAAAAAATAAGCCACGTAAAGATGGCTACCACACAGAGAATCTGGATTATGTTCTCTTTGATATTCGTAACTAAAGAAAAACATTTGATTGTAAAAGCTGTTGAGTTATGCCAAAATGTATATTTTAAAGGTACCTTGACTTCAAAATTTGGATATAAAGATATGTTGCTTTGGAAAGGAGATTCTGCTTTTGTTTCCACAGAAAGTCAGAGGCTATGGATCTGTTCCAGATTAAGACACATCAGGTTTGACC